GAAGATTGCCATGCAGAAGAAGATGAAAGAAAAAGTTAGTCCAGAGCCTACTGTTGGACATGTCCATTGGACATTCGTTCATTCATGACATTCGAAACGGAAATAAGCATTCAGCACAACTAACGACCTGGTCAACCTCAAGTTGAGATAATATTCAAGATTTCTCTTCTATTTTTTGGGATATTGGCACTCGGTTTGGTATTCCATTCTTTCGTTTTGTGGTCACAACCATTTTTGGAAGGAAAGATGCTTTAAAGTATATTCTTATTTTAAACTTGTGGCTTTTGACCACTGCATCTGCTGAGGCTTTCCAATTTGTGGTGCCATTGTTATTCAATATTTGGAAAATGATTGTGACCATTTGGTGTGCGGTCGAGGAATTATTATTGTTATTTTTTGTGTTATAGGGCAAGGAATGAAAGGATTTTAATTTCTACTGGAAAGAAGGTTTAATAGGCAATACCAAGTGGATATTTGTCAATGCCTATCGGGGAGGACTAGCAGAGCTATAATAATCAATTTTAAATATTATTTTATCCAGAACAAACAGGGTTATAAACGTGGTTTTGGCCATAAATTGGAAATTTTTCCAAGGTTAACAAGTCTATAATCATGAATTCTTACAAATATTTTTCTTTCAAGAACTAGCAGGACTCCAGATTAGGATTTTTTGCCAGACTAGGATGGTCATAATTTTATATAACTTTATAAATCGTATATAACATTCTTTTATTAAATACAATATTTGAAGCGTATCAGGACTATAAATGTGGAGAGTTTTCCAGGACATACAGGGTTGCCCATATTCGACGGACCCATCTGGCAACGCCATAACTTTTGACAGAGATGTCACATCGCTTAATAACATACCGCGTTTGAAGCGTCAATCCAAGCAGATTTTTACCATGAACCAATATACGCCACGCGAGCTCTCTAAAATAGTTGAAATTTACATTCAACAGAATAAGTCAATTGTGAAAACTCAACGTGCTTTTAAAACATTAAAAAATGTGAGAAGTGCGCCTTCTAAGCGTTTATACTAAAAATTTTCGACTGATAAGGCTCTTTCTAATCCGAAAAGGCCATATAAAAGTCGACCAAGGCGATCGGCCGAGAATATCGCTGCCGTACGAGCCAGTGTTGATAGGTCCCCAAGAACATCCCAAAAACGCCGTTCTCAGCAGTTGGGCATGGCTCGGTCCACTTTACAACGGATTATTCGCATTGATTTGCATTTGTTCCAGTAAAAAAATTCAATTGACGCAAACAATGTTGCCTGCGGACAAGCCTCGTCGATTGGAATGTGTCCAAAGGGCCCAAAGTCCGTCGAATATGGGCAACCCTGTACAGAGCCATGATTATGCATTTTAAAATTTTTATTTTTCCAGGACATACAGGGGCACGATTATCCCATTTTTTAATCTTCAGGACTAAAGTTGTTAATTCTAAAGTGTAATCGTTATTGTAAAGGAATAACCGAATTATGGTCTTGCAATTTTATACTCTCCACCATATTATGGAAGGTATATTAAGTTTATCATTTCGTTTGTAACACCTCGAAATATACATTTTAGACCCCACAAAGTATATACTTCTTTCAGCATTAAATTCTATGTCGATTTAGCGATGCCCGTCCGTCTGTGGAAAACACTCTAGCTTCCAAACGAAATGAAATAGCTTGATAAAATTTTACTCAAATGCATATTATGTCTGCAGGATTTTTGGTATTTGAAAATGGGCCATGAAGGTCTACATTTTGGTATAGCCTTCGTAAAACAGTACCACATAATATTCCGTACTTTTATGGTTTTGGCTACATTATACAGCGGAGTTGTTTCAAATTTGTTGTTTGAAGTTCGTAATGGATACTATAGCCTAAAATAGAAAATTTTCCGTGCAGGTCCACGTCTTCGTATATCCCCCATATAACGGTACCTCCCGATATTCGGAATTTTGATGATTTTAACGACATTATTTACCGGAATTGTTTCAAATTTGGTATTTGAAGTTCGTAATGGATACTAAAGCCTAAGACAGGAAATTGTGTGTGTAGGTCCACGTTTTATATTCTATATTCGGTATTTTGATAATCTTAGCTACATTATTCACCGGATTTTTTCAAGTTTCGTATTTTAATATTATAATAGATTATGACCAAAGTTGCCCATACAGGTCCACGTCTTCGTTTAGACTCCAATATAAGGGGTATATTCGATATTTTTAAGATTTTAACAGAATTTTCAACGGATTTTATTTTTTTGAAAATCTTCAAATTCGTTGCAAATGGTGGAGGGTATTCAAAGTTCGACCCGGCCAAACTTACTGCTTTTTATACCCTACAACACATAGTGGTATTATATCTTGTGCATTTGTTTTTAACAAGGAGAAGGAAGCGAGATAGATCCTTAGTTGCTTCTGAGTCCATGTATTCTTGTGAACAAAATGCAGGTCGCATTTATTATCCAATTTAGATGAAATTTTGCAAACAATATTTTTTGGCAGAAGGACGAACCCTCTTGAAAGTGGTGATAATCGGATCAGATTTAGATATAAATATAACTCCCATATATCTTCAACAGATTTCGGCTTAATTGTGCACCAAATGGACAATATGACCTGAATACATCTGACCGAATTCAGTTTAGAAGCAAGTATATCAAATTTTAAGAAAATCGGTTCAGATATAGCGCCAGCTCCCATATATATATAGGTTTCATCCTCTTTGGAGTTTTAAGTTCCTCGCATACGTAATATGTACTCCACAACAATGAAATTTGTTACCAAATATCAGATACATCCTAGAAATACCTCTGCCAAATTTTATCAAGATCGGTTCAGATTTGGATATAGCTCCCAAATTTATATTCAACCGATTTCAGGTTAATTGTGCGCCAAATGGCCAATATCAGTCCAACTGACCTAAATTTTGGCACATCCGACCCATTCAGTCTAGAAGCAAGTACATTACATTTGGTGAAAATCGGTTCAGATATAGCTATAGCTTCTATTTATATGATTCATCCGATTTGGTGTTTAGGTTCCTCATATTCGTAATATGCATTCAAAAACAATGATACTTGGTACCAGACATCTTATAAAGTTCGGAAATAGCTCTGCCAAATTTTATCAATATTGGTTCAAATTTGGATATAGCTCCCATATATATTTTCAACGGATTTCGGGTTAATTGTGCACCAAATAGCCAATACAAGTCCAAATGACCTGAATTTTGGCACATCCGACCGAATTCAGTCTAGTAGCAAGTACATTAAATTCGTTAGTCCCTCACATGCGTAATATGCACTCCTCAACAATGATATTTGGTACAAGACATCGTATAGAGCTCTGAAATCGAGAACGACTAAGATTTGGATTTACTTACTGATTTTATGTGTTATTCACTATCTTCCCTTCTATAGGCATGCATATATCGATCCACTATTTCTGGTACCTCCCCCCTAAGGACCAAAATTGCGAATGACCAAAACCCTTATAAATGTGAAGTAAGCATCCGATTTCTTTCAAATTTCACACATTTCAGTATAACCAGGTGTGAAGATAAAATATATTAGGCCTCCCCTTCTTATGACCTGTCACTCCTTTGGAACTCCCTCCATAAAGGGTCAACACTTTAAATAATCATAACACAGGTCAAAGTATATTTAAATAATCCTTTTTTAATCCTAATAATTACAAATAATCCTAAAAGGTAATACTTAATGTAGGTCTAGGTTTTGGACCCGTTGACTTTAGTTATTGGAGCTTTGAGGTTCTCATCCACATTTTTTAGTGTATAAACTCAAATATTCTAAGCCAAACGATTTGTCCATAGTTTAATTTTTTTTCCATGATACCGGATGTTAAAATTTCCCATCCCGACCTAAATTAATTCGGTTCTATAGCCATTATTTGGTTATTCATTTAAGACAATCACCATTTTAGGAGGATATTGTAACATATACTTCATACTGTCTCCATACTTATGGTGTCCACTTCAATATCCCTCCCTCACCTCAAACCCTATCTTTCACACCATCATCGAAAGATATCACTTTACCCACCAATACTTATTGTCACCTGTTTCATTTTTGCACATTCTCTTTCTCAACCGAATCAAATTAAAATCTCATCCAATCCCGTTAAACCTGATAGCCAACAACAGAACAACAACTTAATAATGTGTAAACGATATCGCAAAACATTAAGTGGATCTCCGTGATAACGAATCGCAGGCCAAAGAGATGGAGATAATTAAGAAAATTGTAGTCATCAATGGACAAATGACTGAAATCGAAATGAGTGCAATGAGAGGCCAAGGAGGAGGGTTCATCTGCCCATCGATGGTTGTCTGATTGTCGGGCTATGCCTTTGGAGCTGTCATTCAGAGTCTAATTTAATTACAGCTTGTCATGGCTTATATAGCTCATCTGGCGGCTGAAACCGGAATACATTTATCTTAAGTATCAAATGGTTAAATGGGGGAGGGGTTAGATGAAGAAAATGGGGGGGAGGAATTAATGGAAGGAGCCTAGAAAATATATATGTGTTTGTCCAAGGAATATTGAAATAGTTTACTGTGCAATTAACAAATGGTCTTTTTGGTGCTTCCGTTCCGGCTTTTTTGGTTTTCTGGCTTTCGTGGTTCTTTTGGTAATTGTTGTTATTGTTTTTGTGTTTTTCTGCTGCCTTAAAGGCGTTCAAGTATAGGACGCATATTGAAATGTAATTAAAATAAATGAACACGTATTAGTCCAAGAAAACTCTATTAATTATGCCACCCTCAAAAAAAGGAAATGAAACCAGAAAACAATGAGAAATGCCATTTCAACCGCTACTTACCAGCTTCTTAACAAATTAATCTTTCATTTCGCTTTTCCTATGCTCTGGCTGTTTTGTTGGTAGCATAGAAAAGAAACTCAACAAAAAAAATAAATTTAACTAATTTTTCATTCTTTTCCCATTTTTTTTTCTTCTTTTTTCATTTCCATTCGCCTGCTCAGCAATTCTGAGCACCCTCTGCAAGGAATTCCTCCAGTTCAATGTCTCCGCCATTCTTTACATGATGAACAATGAACAATTCGGCCATAGCACGGCCTCGGCCCAATATTTCCTACAACTGGCCGGCTATCTGGGCATACCGGTGATCTCATGGAATGCCGACAACTCTGGCCTGGAACGACGTGCCTCGCAGTCAACACTTCAACTTCAGTTAGCTCCAAGTATAGAACATCAAAGTGCCGCTATGTTGAGCATATTAGAACGTTACAAATGGCACCAGTTTTCGGTGGTCACCTCGCAGATTGCGGGCCATGATGACTTCGTGCAGGCCGTGCGGGAGCGAGTTGCCGAAATGCAAGATCATTTCAAATTCACGATACTCAATGCGATTGTTGTAACGCGCACTAGTGACTTGATGGAACTTGTTAATAGCGAGGCAAGAGTTATGCTCCTCTATGCCACGCAAAGTGAAGCAATCACTATTCTTAGAGCTGCTGAAGAGCTGAAGTTAACGGGAGAGAACTATGTGTGGGTGGTGAGTCAATCGGTGATCGAGAAGAAGGATGCGCATGCCCAGTTTCCGGTGGGCATGTTGGGTGTGCACTTCGATACGAGCAGTGCGGCGCTAATGAATGAGATATCGAATGCCATCAAAATCTATGGCTATGGTGTGGAGGCGTACGTATCGGATCCAGCGAATCAGGGGAAGAAGCTAAATACTCAGGCGCTGTCGTGTGAAGATGATGGACGCGGTCGTTGGGATAATGGAGAATTGTAAGTATGATTTGGAATTAGGTTTTAAATACGCTTTACATACACTTATCTTAGAAGGGAGGGGACAATGAAGCGGTTGTATTTCAATACTACTCTCAATTTGAAATAAGTATATATTTTAACAAGTAAGCAAAGGCTATAGTCGTTCGAGGCCGACCATGTGATACCCTACAACACTACAATATGTTCGAAGTCACTTTTGTCCAAGATTTCGGTTTTGAGAAAAAAATAATGTCCCTGTTCTTAAATTCCGTGTCGATAAGTTTTCAGTTGTGGCCTATAGAGCGACTACAGAATTATATAAAATAATTTTTTTAGTCAATTTGCACCTCTAAATGTCCATCTTAAGAACAAGAGGCTTTAATTTTGACCCCATGAAAAATTTCGTGAGGATCGGGCGATAATTGCGACATGCATATAATACCCTCAAAACGTAGTGTTGGGGGGTGTTCAAAATTGTAATTCAAATTGAAAAAATCGCATGCGATAAAAAATGTGACAAAAAATGAAAAAATTCGACAAAAGATATTCACTTTTTTATTGGAATATTTTTCCGCGAACTTCTTAGATTTTATCGTTTTCTGGCAAGGGACCATTCCGAATTTATTGGAATTGTAAAAATCGGCCCAGCGGTTCTTGATTTATATGCAGAATAAATGAGATCAATTCTTTTACATATATATTGTACCCATTTTGCTATATATCTGATTTCTTGGCTATTAGCCTCTCTGTAATGGTCAGAAGTGCTCTTTTAATGTATTTGTGATTTGGCTGGGATTGAAAATATTCGCGGTTTAGTGTAAATTTTCCTATTTTCTTACATAAAATTTAGCGTCGCCCAAATTGGTAGGTTTCTGCTCACTTCAAAACTCTAACTCCACGTACATTTTCGCGTCGATTGGTTCATAATTGTGGCTTATAGAGCAAGTGCAAAATCAGGAAATTTTTCTGTTTTTGGTCCATTTTAACCTCTAAATATATTGCGGACATCTTTGAGAACAATAGGCCTAGCCCTTCTCAGCCTAACTCTACCCTTTTTCGTGAGGATCGGACGATAATTGCAATATGTGTATAATAGCCCCAACCTGTGTTATAAGGTGAAAAAATATTACAAAATTTACACCTCAATATTATAAGACAAATTGAAAAAATCGCAAGCGATAAAAAATATGAAAAAATAAAAAAAATTCACAAAATACTACAAAATTTATATTAACATCATTATTGGCATCTTTTTATGCGATTTTTTAGATTTTATTCTTTTATGCCAGGATGACATTCAGAATTGACAAAATTTGTCAAAATCGGTCCAGCCATTCTTGAGATATAACCATTTTAGCTTACATCCCCTTCCTTTGTTTATACACATTGTATATATTTCGCTATATATATCCGATATATTTACTATCGGCATCTACGTAATAGTCAGAATTGGCCTGTTCGTCTATTCGTGATTTCGCCGGGATTAAAAATATTCGCGGTTAAATAGAAAAATTGAATTTTATTTAACACAAATGTTGTGGTCTATTTCACACACTAAATATTACCCGATGACCATCAAAATTGGATAGCTTCTGCCCAGCCCTAAGCTCTAGCCCCATGCTAACTTCCGCGTCGATTGGTCAATAATTGCGACCTGTAGAGCAACTGTAAAATCATGAAATTTTTCAGTTTTTGGTCCATTTCAACACCTAAATATTTTGCGATCATCTCCAAAAACAACAGGGTTCTTTTCTGACCCTAACCCCACCTCCGTTTTCAATTCCGTGGGAATCGGGCCATAATTGCGACCTGTAGTTTGATTACAAATTGACATGGACAGACGGACGGACGGACAGCTAGATCGACTCAGCTCGGCGAGCTAGGAAGATCCATATATACTTTTCTATGTGGGAAACCAATATTTCGAGGTGTTACATAATTGTTGGCCCAATCAAACTTATAATACCCCAACACATGGTGTTGTAGGGTATAAATATAATTTTTGAGCACGGATGTCAACTACGGGTTCCTCGAACACTGCTCTAAAAGCAATGAATGATGAAGACTCTGGTATTCCTTGATAAAATGTCATGAAAAATCCATAATTAAAATGCTAATGCTCCTTGAAAAGTTAGTGGAAGAACTGACTAACTGACCGAGAATCAACGACCATACAAAACATTTTAAGCTTGGTGTGTAGGCGTGTGATAAGGTTAAGTTTTTGGAAATTCGAACCAAAACGATTTGAAAAGTACTAAAATGTACTAAAAATTCATTACTTTGTATTGGACGAACATATTGAGCTAGAATTTGGAAAGACTAGTGGAGTGGAGGATAGATGTACCAAAGGTTTTTTGGAAAGCTAGTATTAAACAAGAATCTGGAAATTTTGCACAAGAATCTTGAAATTCGTGTGATACGACGTGGAACTGGAAACAACAATTTTTGTTATAGGTTGTAGCACCCCTTACGAACTTCAAATACGAAATTTTAAATAATTCCGGTAAATAATGTCGATGAAATCATGAAAATACCGAATATCGGGGGGTACCGTTATATGGGGGCCGTACGAAAACGTGTACCGACATGACTCATTTACGAACTTAACCTGCCTACTGGTCAACTATGAATGTAAGCAACATTTTAGCCTTCTATCTCAATTCGTTCGAAAGATTACAACAGACAGACAGATGGACATCGCTAGATCGTCTTAGAATTTTACGCTGATCCAGAGTATATATATATTCTTTTTAGGCTCTATTATAAATATTTCGAGGAGTTACAAACGGAAAGACAAAGTTAATATACCCTCCATAGAATGGTGGAGGGTATACCATTTTTGAAGACTTTTTGGTTTAATAAGGTAAACATTTTCCGAATTTTCCTTCCGAAAAAGGGAAAAACTTTAATGAATAATATTTTTTGTCTTTGACGTCATTCTTCTAGAATAATGCTTTATTGGAGATTTTTGCAAAAACTTACACAAAGTACGGCTTTAACCCTAAAATGTCTCTTTAGTATATAAGGATTCCTGACGTATAGGTAAAATTTTAGACTTTTGTTGTCTTGTAGCAGTTAGTAGATTTTTTATGGCAAATAATTTTGATGAATTTTTTTAACTTGTTTCGATCCCATTTAAATTGAGTTTTTAATTATAGTTTAAAAGTAGGACCAAAAAGACCCCTCTGTTGACTCTTTTGAGGACTAAGATGTTCGATCAAAATAATCCACGTTGCAATGTTTTCGAAAACACTATATACCTAAAATCAAAGAATTATAAGGAATCTTTACGAAAGAAATCAGAAAATGTGGAAAAAGGGCAAAAGGGGAAACATCGCCCCTCTATTTATGCTACATTGCAATGTAAACTTTCAAAACACCGATAAGCGTATCTTCTTCTTTCATAATCTGCTCTAAAAAATAATTAGGAAAAATGTTTCAAGCAATTTTTATAAAAATTCACGTTCAGAGCCCTGAAAAGTGTTCAAAAAATAATAATTATTAAAATCCCTGTTTAGAGCCCTTAAAGATGCTTAAAAAAATAATTATAAAAATCCAGGTTTAGAGCCACGAAAGTTGCTCCAAAAAATAGTTATACAAATCCACATTCAGATCCCTGAAAAGTGCCCAAAAATTATCCGAAAATAGCTATAAATGCACGTTTAGATTCCAGAAAGGTTCTCCAAAAAATGATTATAAAAATCCACGTTTAGAGCCCTGAAAGGTACTCCAAAAATGATAATGAAAATTCACGTTTGGAGCCCTGAAAAAGGCTCCAAAAAATAATCATAAAAATCCAGGTTAGAACTGCGAAAGTTGCTCCAAAAAATAATTTAAAATTTCCACGTTTTGAGCCCTTAAAGATGCTCCATAAAATGGTTATAAAAACCCACATTTAGAGTCATGAAAAGTGCTGCAAAAATAATTTTTAAAATCCACGAATAGAGCCTACAATTAGAGCCATAATAGTTGCTCCAAAAGTTAATTAAATAAATTCAAATTAAGAGTCCAAATAGGTTCTCAAAACAAAATGTAAAAAATTTGAGAACAGAGTTCTTGTGGTTGTTCAAAAATCTATTTAAGGTGCCTGATTTTTGCTTCAAAAAATTTTTATAAAAATTCAAAATCAATTTTTCTATTTTCCTTTTCAGATTTTTCAAATATCTACGTAATGTCTCCATCGAGGGCGATTTAAATAAACCCAATATTGAATTCACGGCTGATGGTGATCTTAAATCGGCGGAACTGAAAATCATGAACTTAAGACCCAGTGCAAATAATAAAAACTTGGTCTGGGAAGAGGTAAGCAGGACAAATGAATTATCCATTAAAATCTCACAATCCTTTATTTAACTCTCTTTCCAGATCGGCGTCTGGAAATCCTGGGAAGCCCAGAAACTCGACATTCGCGATATCGCCTGGCCGGGTAATTCACATGCTCCACCACAGGGTGTACCGGAAAAATTCCATTTAAAAATCACATTTCTTGAAGAAGCACCCTATATCAATTTATCACCCGCCGACCCCGTTAGCGGCAAGTGTCTCATGGATCGCGGCGTCCTCTGCCGTGTGGCAGCTGATCACGAAATGGCCGACATCGATGTGGGCCAAGCGCATCGCAACGAGTCGTTCTATCAGTGCTGCAGCGGCTTCTGCATCGATCTGCTGGAGAAATTTGCCGAGGAACTGGGTTTTACCTACGAACTGGTACGGGTCGAAGATGGTAAATGGGGTACTCTTGAGAATGGTAAATGGAATGGTGTCATCGCTGATCTGGTTAATCGCAAAACCGACATGGTCCTCACATCGCTCATGATCAATACGGAGCGTGAGGCGGTGGTGGACTTCAGTGAGCCCTTCATGGAGACTGGAATTGCTATAGTGGTGGCCAAACGTACGGGTATTATATCGCCAACGGCTTTTTTAGAACCTTTTGATACGGCCTCATGGATGCTGGTGGGCATTGTTGCCATACAGGCGGCCACATTCATGATCTTCCTCTTCGAATGGCTCTCGCCCAGTGGCTACGATATGAAACTGTATCTGCAGAATACCAACGTTACACCCTATAGATTTTCGCTGTTCCGAACGTATTGGCTGGTGTGGGCGGTGCTGTTCCAGGCAGCCGTACATGTAGATTCGCCGCGTGGCTTTACGTCGAGATTTATGACAAACGTATGGGCCCTGTTCGCTGTGGTATTTTTGGCCATCTACACTGCCAACTTGGCGGCCTTCATGATAACGAGGTAAAAAAAGCGATTCTTTACATTCTTTTGTTGTGGCACACAATGCAGGCTTGCAAAGAAATAGATATGTTCTCCACATATGTTTGGCTTTATTGATTATTTATGTGTGTTCTCTCTTTGTGTCTTCGTCCTTTTTTTTTCCTTTTCCATGTAGAGAGGAGTTCCACGAGTTTACTGGCTTAAACGACAGCCGTTTAGTTCATCCATATTCACACAAACCCTCCTTCAAGTATGGCACCATCCCATACAGCCACACGGACTCCACCATCAATAAATACTACAAGGAAATGCACTACTACATGAGACAGTAAGTTTGTTATTCGTTTTTTATTATTTTTTTTTAGAAAAAAATATAAATTCTGTTCTTTTGCAAAAAAGGAACTTCGTACTATTGTACTGAAAACCCAGATTGCAACATAAATAAGTTTAGTTACAAAGGGGAATAAAAAAAGTTGAAAAGGGTAATAGACTTAAAGTGTAAAATTTACAAAGTGTGGGTACTTAATATTAAATAGGTATGGCCAAGAAAGGCGGTGATTTTTTAAGGGTTTCGACAATCAACGGTGTGTAAACATCCGAAATATCATATGTTTGTACGAGACGTAAAATAAGTTTAGACTTCATAGACTATTAAAACTGAGGACAACGAAATTGTTGTTGATAGAATATGGAAATATGTTGGTGTTTTTATATCCTACAACACTATGTGTAGGGGGTGTTATAAGTTTGATTAGGCCAAAAATTATGTAACACCCCGTCTGTCCACGTTAATTTGCAATCACTCTACAAGTCGCTATTATGGCCGATCTTCAAGAAATTTAGAATGGAGGTGGGGTTAGAGCCAGAATAGAAGCTTTTGGAGATGATCGCATAATATGGACTAAAAACTGAAAAATGCTGATTTTGCAGTTGCTCTACGGGTCGCAATTATGGACCAATCGAAGGAAGTTAGCATGGGGCTAGAACTTAGGCTGGGCAGAAGCCTTCCAATTTTTATGGTCCCTGGTGAAAGTGCTAAGGGTAATATCTGGGAAGTGCTCCGTGACATTATTTCAAAAACGAAGTCTTCCAAAATGGATTTGGACATAAGAGGGCTTTCAACATATTGTAGGGTATCACGTGGTCGGCCCTGCTCGACTATAGCCTTTGCTTACTTGCAAAATCAGCAGAAATGGTTCGAAAAGTAAAGAAGCGACTTGATCGAAACCCGCGTCGTAGTGGCCGAAAAATGGCTCGTGAGCTGAACATATCGCAATATTCCATTCGGCAAATATTGAAAAATTAGCTCGGGGTAAAGCCATTGAAATTCCAAAAAGTGCAAGAACTTACACCGCAACAGAAAGAAAATAGACTCAAGTTTGTAAACAAACAAAATGATCGTGTGTTAACTTGCCAAAGAGTTCTGCTGAAAATGTGCACCTTCGGTTGGCCACCAGAACTCAAGTGCCGGCCTTGGTGATTGTGTTGGCCGCCATAACAGCCGATGATCGCTCTCCGCTCGTATTAATCGACCGTGCCATCAGAATAAATGCCGAATATTACCGCGAAAATATTCTGAAGGGTGTATTAAAACCACGCAAACATTTTGGTCGCACTCAGCACCCGCCACCCAAGAATGGTTACAAAATGAGGTTCCTCGCTTCATTTCCAGCGCACAATGGCCACCCAAAATCCCCGGATACCAATCCGTTGGACTATTGTGTCTGGAGTATTTTGGAGAGCATGGTTGGCACTAAAAAATACCAAAGTGTCGATCAACTCAAGCAAGCGCTTCGCCATGAATGAGTGAAAATACAGCAGAGCAACATTCGGGCAGGGTGTAACGGTTTCATTGGCCGTTTAAATTCCATAATTCACGCCAAAGGTTACCAATTCAAACAAATTTAAACTTATTCTAAAATTGGATGCTATTTCCGACATTTTTTGCTTTCATTCAATGAAAATAAAAACGTAAAAATTATGGCGTTTGACTTTGTTGCAGTTTTTTTTAATCTCACCCTGTACTCATGTCAGACCCAACAAAGTATATACATTCTTGATCAGCGTAGAAATATAAATCGGTTTAGCGATGTTCGTCTGTCTGTCCCTGAGTCTGTTGTAATCACGATATCTTTCGATCTAATTGAGAAGGCTAATTTTGCACACATGTGTACTTTGCCAGGACGCAGGTTAACTTCGTATGACCCCCATATACCGGTATATCCCAATATACGGCATTTTGATAATTTTACCCACATTATTTACCGGAATTATTTTAAATTTCGTATTTGAAGATCCTAATGGGTACTCCAAGCCATGACAGTAAATTATTTATGTAGGCCCACGTATTCGTGTAGCCCCTATACGACGGTACCTCCCAATATTCGGTATTTTTATGATATTAGCAACATTTCTCACCGGGATTGTTTCAAATTTCGTAATTGAAGTTCGTAATGGATATTACACCCTATTACAGAAAATTATACTTACAGGTCCACGTCCTCGTATACCGGAATTGTTAATTATGCAGGTTCTCGTCTACGTATAGCCCCCATATAAGGGTTTAGTCAGTATTTTTCTAAAATTCTTTTTACATTTTTTCAAATTCCTTCCAAATGGTGAAGAGTACTAAAAGTTCGACCTTACCGAACTTATTTGCCCTTTGAATGGTTTAACTATCAGTAATCGAAAATAACACATTTCCAAGAAACCAACCTCTTAAACTTCCTACGTATCTCATCATTATTTTCAACTTCTAGGAAACCTTTAGTTATTTCGCAGGTACAGAATAATATATTTTTATGGGGTCTCCATTGTTAATTGTTAAACCACTCCAAAAATCACGTGAACCATTTAACACGTCTTCCCTCGAATTTTGAAATAATTTCAAAACAAATACATAAGCCTTAGAATTTAAAAAAGTATTATCTCCATTTCAGATATAACAAATCCAGTGTAGCGGACGGAGTGGCAGCTGTGCTGAATGGCAATTTGGATGCCTTTATTTATGATGGCACGGTGCTCGATTATTTGGTGGCTCAAGATGAAGACTGTCGTCTGATGACGGTGGGCAGCTGGTATGCCATGACAGGTAAAATGAAATGAAATAAAACAAAATCCGCCATTCAATTCCATTACCATTCACCTCACTCCACGCTTCCCCTTTACCTCTCTCTTACTCCTCCAGGCTATGGTCTGGCCTTTAGTCGCAACTCAAAATACGTCCAAATGTTCAATAAACGTTTATTGGAATTTCGAGCAAATGGCGATCTGGAACGTCTGCGTCGCTACTGGATGACGGGGACATGTCGCCCCGGCAAACAGGAACATAAATCTTCCGATCCCCTGGCATTGGAGCAATTCTTGTCGGCATTTTTATTATTGATGGCGGGCATTTTGCTGGCAGCTTTATTGCTGCTGCTCGAACATGTCTACTTTAAGTATATACGAAAGCGGATTGCGAAAAAAGACGGGGGCCATTGTTGTGCTTTAATCTCGCTGTCGATGGGCAAATCGTTGACATTTCGCGGTGCCGTCTACGAGGCGACGGAGATACTGAAAAAACATCGATGCAATGATCCGATATGTGATACCCATTTGTGGAAGGTGAAACATGAATTGGACATGACACGACTGAGAGTGCGTCAGCTGGAGAAGGTGATGGACAAACATGGCATTAAGCCGCCACAATTAAGGTGTGTGTTCGTAATTAATTGGAAATTTAGTATTGTTTTCAGGAAAATTAAAAATTTGTTCTCTCGTTGTAGACTTGCCTCCTCATCGGATCTGCTAAATCATCATCATCTAAAGGAACGACCACCCCTAATGGGCAATTTGAGTTTGGCAGCCAGTGCACAAGATTTATACAGGTGGTAAGTTTGTCGTTTTTCCAACCCTACCCCCACACAAAGAAACAAACACACAAAGCATACAAACAAATAGGTTTTGTAGCTGCAAACAGCATGCCCACCAACCGAACCCAGCAAACCAACCAACCACCAGTAAATCCACATTCCCACACCACAACCACTACAACCAAATAACAAATAATTATGTACACCCAGTTAATTAACGGCCCCAACCAATTCCACCAACCAGCCACCCATGTTAAAATATCCTCCTGGAGTTGTTTAGAATACAACAGCCCTGTTTATGTAGTAGTACTCGCTTCCGTTCCACCTAAATCCCTGGTTTTCTTCAAAAGTTCTTTATTGCCATTATTGTAAATTGTATCCAGCACCGTTGTTGTTATTGACCTAACCCACCCACAACCATCACCACCACCCACTAACTTTGGCATGTTTTAATGTTTGCTCTCTCTCGCTCTCCCACTCTCTCTCCCCCCATCCAATAATTATTAGATTGTAAACCGCAATCTTTTTAATTCGTTTTTAATTAACAGTTAAAATGAACAGCAAATTTTGTAATTTTTAATTGTTTTCCAATTTCCGTTTTCCTCTTTCGTCGTCCGGTCCGTACGGAGGATTTTTATAAGACAATGAAAAATAAAAAATGAAAATCAAAACAAAAAAGAGTGGTAAACAAAATTATACAACTTCATTAACACATTTACACGTTGGCGTACTAAATTTAAATTAGTTTTATGTTGCGTTTGAAATATTGTAAGTCCATTTGCCATAATTAAAAAAAAAAATTTGTTATAATTTTGATTTGAGATCACCAAAACTGGGTGATGTCTACCAAGTTTATATATATCAGGGTGATATAAAAAAAAAATCAAACGCCATAATTTTTACATTTTTTATACCCACCACCTTGGAAAGGAGGGTATATTAACTTTGTCATTTCGTTTGTAACATCCTTAAATATTCGTCATAGACCCCATAAGGTATATATATTTTCATAATCGGCATAAAATTCTAAGTCGATTGAAATCACAATACAGCCCACATTATTTGACGTAGAGCGCCAAAATTTAGCAGAGCAATTTTTATTGTGTCGAGGATGGTTGGTATTGAAAATGAGATATATTTGTCCACATTTTGGTATAGTCCTCATTTAACGGTACCTCCCTATATTCAGCATTTTGATGATTTTTGCCACATTTCTTCACGGATTTGTCTAAAAATTGGTATTTGTTTGTCATAATGGGTTCAAGCTCCGGTGCCGAAACATTGCATGTATAGGTCCACCATTTGGTTTTTTGATGATTTTTGGCACATTTTCCCATCAATATGTTTAAAAATTTGTATTGTTGGTCGTAATGAGCTCCAATGTTTCCTTTACCCTAAGGAGAAGGGTTGATGTATTAAAAGTTTGGTCCGAACGAACTTAATGTTTTTTACTTCTTTTTTTTAATTTTATTGAATGAAAGCAAAATATATCGAAAAAAGCATAAAATTTTAGAATAAGTTCAGATTTGTTCGAACTGGTCACCTTTGGCACGAATTATGGCATTCAAACGGCCAATGAAACCGTCACACGCTGTCCGAATGTTTCTTTGCGGTATTTTGTTTAGTGCCAACCTTGCTTTCCAAACTACTCCAGACAAAATAGTCCAACGGATTGGTATCTGGAGATTTTGGTGGCCATTGTGCGCTGGAAATGAAGCGAGGAACCTCATTTTGTAAACATTCTTGGGTGGCGCGTGCTGAGTGCGATGGTGCTGAGTCCCGTTGGAACGTCCAAGGTCTGCGGCCAAAATGTTTGAGTGCCCAAAGCTTTAATACACCCCGCATAATATTTTTGCGATAATATTCGGCATTTATTCTGATGCCACGGTCGATTAATGCGAGCGGAGAACGACCACACCATACTATGGTGATGGCGCTTGAGTTCTGGTGGCCAACCGAAAGAACACATTTTTCAGCTGACCTCTTTGGCAGATAAACACGATCATTTTTTTTTTTTGTTTCCAAACTGCTAGACAACGAATGTTTTCTCATCGGAGAAAACCAAATTCGGCCACATTCGACCAAGCGAAGCAACTCTTTAGCTCTTTTGAGTCTATTTTCTATCTGTTGCGTTGTAAGTTCTTGCCCTTATTGGAATTTCAATGGCTTTACCCCAAGCTAATTTTTCAATATTTGCCGAATGTAATATTGAGATATGTTCAGCTCACGAGCCATTTTGACTCGGGTTTCGATCAAGTAGCTTCTTTACTCTTCAAACCATTTCTGCTGATGTTGCTGTTTTCTTCCGTCTACTTCCGTGACGTAGGGCTACGCTACCAGTATCACGGTAACGAGCGATGGTACGAGACACAAAAGATTTATTCACATTTAAATGCTGAAGTACTCTAACAATAGCCACTTGTGGTTCTCCAGCCAAATATAAAGAAATCACACTATCACGCTTGAATTCCATCACGAATAACTTTTTTCCTGGAAAATTCTCACCAAAATGCTTTTGTACGCTTCTAAACAATATAATGAGCTGTCACTGGAATAATTTTAACATTTGTCGGACGAGTGGCTTTAAAATAACAGCAGTCTGAAGTTGGTTACCGTTTTTTCATCTCACTCTGTACGAACACCTGGACCTGTCACAGCCTGTAGTACCCATTACGAACTGCAAATACGAAATTTGAAACAATTCTGGTGGATAATGTCGCTAAAAACCTTAAAAATACCGAATAAAGGGAAGTACCGTTATATGGGGGTTATACCAAAACGTGGGCCCATATAACCCATTTTCAATAACAAAAATCCTGCAGAACAAACACACATCTGAGTAAAGTTTTATCAACAAACTCCCTGCCGAACAAATACACATCTGAGTAAAATTTTATCAACATACTTCAATTCGTTTGGAAGTTAGAGTGATTTCCATAGACGGACAGACAGACATACGGACAGACATCGCTAAATCGATATACAGGGTTGCCCATATTAGACGGACCCATCTGGCAACGCCATAACTTTTGACAGAGATGTCACATCGCTTAATGACATACCGCGTTTGAAGCGTCAGTCCAAGCAGATTTTTACCATGAACAAATACACGCCATGCGAGCGTTCTGAATTTTACATTCAACAGAAGAAGTCAATTGTGAAAACTCAACGTGCTTTTAAAACATTAAAAATGTGAGAAGTGCGCCTTCTAAGAACACCATTAAGCGTTTATACGAAAAATTTTCGACTGGTAAGGCTCTTTCTAATCCGAAGAGGCCATATAAAAGTCGACCAAGGCGATCGGCCGAGAATACGCTGCCGTACGAGCCAGTGTTGAGAGGTCACCAAGAACATCCCAAAAACGCCGTTCTCAGCAGTTGGGCATGGCTCGGTCCACTTTACAACGGATTATTCGCATTGATTTGCATTTGTTCCCGTACAAAATTCAATTGACGCAAAGAATGTTGCCTGCGGACAAGCCTCGTCGATTGGAATGGGCCCAAAGCGCCCAAAGGTCCGTCGAATATGGGCAACCCTGTAGAATTTTATGCTGATCAAGAATATACTTTGTGAGGTCTAAAATGTATATTTCGAGGTGTTCCAAACGGAATGAAACACCTGAAAATATAGCATCTTTAAAAATATATTTAATGTTGTCCTGACATTTGAGAAAGATGTTATTGTTTGCATCATACTAAAATAATTTTCAAAATTTTTCAAAACAACTGCTCCTTGTCCACTATAAATTTCCAACACAATAAAGAATGTCACATAAATGAAAAAGTGCAGATGCAACTAGTTTCTCATCTCTAGATAAAAACACTAAGATTCCAATAGATTTCTTTGTGTTTAATTAAAAAAAAAAAAAAAAAACCTTTCTAATACAAAATGATTCTCCCTTAGGCAAACTTTCTATTGTTTTAATTTCTTCGGCATTATGTTACAAAAGACTTAGAAATCTTTAATAATTTCCCTCAAACTGACCTTGATTATCTTCTCAAGTCTCCCGCACACACCCAAGCTCTCATCCACTAATCCCTTCGTTACAAGGATGTTCAGACAATTGCGATTGGCAAACAAGTTTTTTGTTCGGATATTTTCTAAGAAAATGTCTTTATTTTTAGCCTACATTTAAATATGCAGCATAAGACCACTTTAATGGAACTGGGTCAATTACCAAGAAAATGGACAAGACATGGCTAAAAGCAGGAGGCGAAAGATAAAGCGAAAGTAAAGAGGAAAAGCTCTTTAAAAATTAATTTAATTAATTTTTGAGCTAAGTTTGTTGTGACGACAAACAGACACAGCTCGACTCACTCACGCACGCACGCACGGACGCTGACAAGTCGTTGTCGTTGCTGCTGCTGCTGCTGATGTTGTCGACAGAAATAGTCGTTGCGTTGTCGCTGTCGTTGTTGACGTTGATGTCAAGTGGCCATAAACTATTTCCCGTTTTCTCCCATAATTGCTATTGCAACCAAGAAGGATGTGGAAAGCAAGAGGAAAAAGCAAAACGAAAACAGTTAATTATCATAAAGATAACGGTTAATATAAAACCTACAGTTTATGCGGTATCTTTATTATGAAAAGCAAAAAAAAAGACTAGAAAACGAGCACCAACAACAACATCAGCAACTTTGATGACGTCCTAAAAGGCTTCAAATGCTAGAAGTCATATTTAATGGCTGGTGGTTATTGGAGTGTGTCCAGTTTTTCCGTAGACAGAATACCTTGTCCTGATCTTCTGAAGGCCTTCTATAGTTAGACTATTTGTTGCTGTTCTTCAGTTAATAATATACTTTCTACAGGACTCTTGCAGACACATCTGTAGCTCTTCTGTGGATAGAAGGGCTTCTGCTGTTCTTCTATGGTTAGACGAGCCTTTGCTGCTCTTCTATAGAGAGAAGAGCCTTTGTTGCTTTTCTATAGATAGAAGAACCTTTGCTGCTCTTCTATAGATAGAGCCGCAGATCTTCTATGGATAGAAGAGCCTCTGCCGTTCTTCTATGGATAGAAGA